TTTCCCATATCGTTTTGAGTGAAATTGAACGAATTCAATTCTTAACCGAAATTTAAAATAAACTCTTTGCTTATTTAGTGAATCTTCTTGGCTCTCATTCCCTATTTAATATGTTTTTCCTCTCTCATTCATTTCCCCTTTTTATTTAAAATGAATCGCTCATCCATTCACAATTTTTCCAAGAATTTACACATATCAATTAATTTGATAATAAAATTTCCTAAAAAAACATGTGACTTCAAAAGTTGAGAATAAAAATTGAATTAGATGAAGTGAATTTTCAATTTTCCATAGAACACTCAATAAACTTTTGAGAATTATAAAAAAGCAAATTCATTTATAAATAATATAGCTTCATTCCCAATTGGTTTCAATAAATACTTCCTATTTCTCACAAGTTTAAAAAGAAAAAAAAAAAACAAAAAATGAAATGATTTCAAAATTGCTCAAAAAAGAAAAAGTTCATACTTTTTAATATACATTTATCATTCATTTCATTTCAGATAACATTTGACGCAGCATAAATCGTTTTTTCAAACATTGTTACAATCATTTTCTTTTTAATTTTCAAATAATGTTTAAAATAAGCTAAAATAAAATAAAAATTGCAGTAGATTTAATTTCAAATAAAATTTAAAATTAGCTGAAATAAAATAAAACCTTCAAAAAATTTCCATTTTTCCTTATTGTGAATTTCTTAAATTATCAACAATTGTTATCATGCATGATAATGATATCATGAAAAAAAAAAGAGAGAGAGAGAAAAAAGGCGGTGTAAAAATTTTTGGAAAATTTTAAAAGAAATACACAAACTGTGAAATTTAGCATTTACTGTGAAAATTAGGGAAATTACAACAGAATACCGGATTGTGGTTGTTACTTGAAGAAATTAAAACAAATCAATGGTGCTGAGGCGGAAAGTAGCAGCAATGCGCTAATGGATGCAGCTAATCACTTTACTAAATTCAATTTTTCAGCGGAAACAAAGACTTTTATCCTTAAAAGCTTTCGTTGTCAGAGGAAATATCGCTATTGCTAAAGAGAAAATCACAAATGATGTCAATTCAATTGTTTCAATGCATTTATTTTCTTTCTTTTCTTTTTTTTTTCTTTTTGAAGAGTGGAGAAGGCAAGAGGGATTAGAATGAAGCTTAAAAATTAAGATTTAATTAAGAAAGCTAAGCTCATTCGTACATTTTTACATTTCAAAAATTAACAAAAAAAAAAAGAATTTTTTTCAAATTAACAAAAAAAAATTTTTAAAAATTAGCAAGAAAAGCATTTCTCAATTTTTTTTTTCTATTTTCTAATCTAAACTATCATAAGCTATCATTTAGCAAGCATATTTACGGGACAATTTTCAGTTATACTGGCATCCTTTCAATCATCCTGCTCCATTTGTTATGAGCCAATTTGGCTAGCTATTGAGAGTTCATGAGGAGCTGATCCCGCCTGCAATGGTAAGATAGCTAATGGATGGTGTGCTACTTGGGCAAGTGATATTAGCTAAATAATGTTGACGAAAAAAAAAAAAAAAGAAGAAAAGCTTTCGAATAAATGAAATTCCGAAATAGCAAACCTTAAAATTGAAGCTGATTTATAACATTTTATTTCAATTAGCTAATTCGAAGTTCAAAATCCTTACTCTTTTCACTGCAAACATGGCACATAGTTCGAAATTATTCCTATAAAATTAGATTGTACAATTTTAATGACTTACAAAATTAGCTATACTTGCAAAATTAAGTGAATAGTAATTTAGATATTTTTTTGGATGGGATTTATCTGAAATTATATTGTCATAAGGAAATCATACAACTAAAATCATTTCTTCCTTTTTTTTTTTTCAAACGCTAACTTAAAATTATGTTTTTAAATTCATCTCAGCATCATGATAAAATCATTTCAGACATTCAATGGTATTCAGCTTGTCGCTTTGAAATTAAATTAATTATCTCACATTAAACTCTTCATGAGATCTACACTGATGACTTATAATGGTTAAAATTAAAAATTTAATTTAAATTGCAATACCTAATTGGTTAACAGCTTGTCCATTTTTATCTTTAATATTTTGAACGGAAAAGTTTAAGAGTCTTATTTCGAATCTTGAGATATTTCGATATTGAAAGATATTCTGTTTTTAATATTCATTAGTTTGATATCAATTAATTCAACACAAATACATTGAATATCCCATTTTGAAAATCTTTTTTCAAAATTAAAATTGGTACTTTCTCGATAGGAGTGCAAAAAGCTTCACAGATTATTTTTACATAAATTTTTCTGATTTCTATTTTGAATTCAGTGAATTATGAACTAATATAATGTAAAAAAGCTTAAACATTATAATGAACTGTCACCTTTGATTTTCGACTTCTATATCAGTGCTGAAATGAGAACAAAGGAACATTGGGACACCGTTGGCTTTCAACATGCTTTGCTCTAATATAATAAAAAAGTACGTAATACTATCCTAGGCTGTCATCTCATAATATCATATATCTTAGGTTATCATCTCATAATCAATATGATGCTATCCTAGGCTATCATCTTACAAGACCACATGTTCTAGGTTACCATTTAATAAGCCATGTGATACCACCCTAGGCTACCATCTCATTAGACCATATGATACTATCTTAGATGACACTATCATTGATACTATCATATGATATTATCCTAGGCTGTCACTCATAAAATCATATGATATTATCCTAGGCTACTATCTAATAAGCCATATGATATCACTTCAAGCTACTATCTCATAAGACCATATGATACTGTCCCAGGCTGTTACTCATAAAATCATACAATACTATCCTAGGCTACTATCTAATAATCCATATGATACCATCCTAGGCTACCATCTCATAAGACCATATGATATTTATTCTAGGCTATCATCTCATATGACCCATATGATGCAATCCTAGGCTGTCATCTTATAAGATCATATGATACTATCCTACGCTATACTATCCTAATATTTTAAACTGAATAGAATTTGCAGATAGCAATGAAGTTTCATCATTGCAATTTTAATCGGAAGTTTCATGATAAGTTCCCATTCATCATCTCAAATTCTAATATTTATGCAAATTTTTGCTTTTCTTTTTCACCTCTTCGCACTTTCACCTTCTTTTCCTAATCTTTCTGTCAGATTTTTGCATTAATTATCAAAGAAAAGAAAAAAAGAAAGGAGAAAAAAAAACATTGGATTAAACTAATAACATTAGATTATGCAAATTTTTAGGAACTTATAAGGAGATAATGCACAATTCTTTTGTCAGTGTTATCATTTGTTTCGGTTAGATGTGTGTGTGTGTGTGTGTGTGTGTGTGTGTGTATGT